TAAACATAGAGTAAGAAAGCGATATTCAATTGTTATTAAGCTAATAAGAGAAAGTAAAAAGGACGAGTTCCATAAAAGTAACGAGAGCATTCATTTAGAGTAGTAAAAGGACTCAATTGCATCGACCCTTATGCGAGTAAGCGAGTCGGAGAGGAGCGAAGAAAGAGTATCTTCAGTGGAAGCAAGAAAAGAAGCACTGGCGTTACTGGCTAAGGACTCATCACTCTCAGGGCATGGAAAACTAAGGGGGCGCAGGCTTCCAGGTTTTTTTAGATGATTAGTAGGGCTGGGCTTATTTGTGGGAAATTTTTGATAGGGCACAACCAAGAGGGCTGAAGCTGTCTTAGGCATCCCTACGAATGAATACTTCTGCTCGGGACATAATATAGGTCGCTTGCTTGCGACTGGCTTGCAAGAGAGCTTCCCACTTGAACTGGGGCATCCACCTTTGATAACTCCTAGGACTTAGATAACGGGGTACATTGAAAGACCGGATCGAGGGGACACTGAATACTTTTATGCTTACCGGTAATCGCGCTTCCTTTAGCGTAGACCACCCTTTATTTAGTTTATATTGGATTGAATTAGCAAAGTAGCTTGCTTCCCGGGTGTCGGTATAGTCCGGGCAGCTCGCTCATCTCATAGAAAGAAATTCGTTGCGGTAAGCCTTACTCAATCAACTGAGACCCTGTTGGAAGCGTTAGCTCTTGTGAAGACCTTAAAGAGCCCTTACCCGAACTCTTCTTACTTTACGGGGTACGAAGAGGCCTTTAACCATGCTATACCCTAGCCTCCGAAATCGGGCGCGAAGAGGAAGCTTGAAACGATAGGGGTTCTTTCTTTCGGGTCAAGAACGTAAGGAGAGTCTTTTCACAGTCCATATATACTTAATGAAGAGCTAACGTTTCAAGAATGAAGGTTTGGATTACATTGAAAAGGAGGTAAGGGGCAGGCTCAATAGATAGGGAACGAGTGGGCAGGACAGGGAAGAACGTAAGTTCCCATCGCAAATGCCAAAAGCATGTGCTATGCCAGTTAACGTGAAAGTGGTACTTTCAAGGTTCCTTCTTTTTGCTCGTATGTTAGAAAGAAAATGAAGGGTCGATGAGTGAAGAGTTCTCTGTTATCTTATTCTGTTAAGACACCCGAAAATATAGATAAGGGATGCTTACAAGTCAGGATGTTGAATGCTTGCTCGAAATCCCGCCTTTCTTCCAGATGCCTATAGTAAAGCCTTGTTTTCTCAGTCCCTTGAGAGTTCAAGTAGCTCCAACAGTTTTATTAGATAAGCTACTTCGTAAGCAAGTGCCAAAGAGTCTTTCTTTCCCGAGTGTGAGATAGAAAGTAAGGCCCTGTAAAGATAGTTTTTATCTAGCTAGTTAACGTTCCAGCACCAATAGACAGTGCCGGAGAAAGCGATCGTATTCCCCATTGCCTCGAAGGTCTTCAGGTAATTGAGTCGTTGGAAGCACGCCATAAAGTCCTTGACGGGGAAATAACATCAGTTAGAACGCTTGCCTCTTTTCTGTAGTATGTCCATCGAGCGAGAGTATAGTTTGTACACCTAGAGGACGCCGGTTCGGTTCCTTGGTCTAGCCGGAAAGGAAAGGGATTTTCCAGTAAATATAAGGGAAGTCAGGTGCTCGTATAGGAGTCTGGTCAGATCCGAAAGTCCTTATTCAACTACGCGTACCCCTACAACCCACACTTGCTTTCCAACATCTCCTATCGCCGAGCTCTAAAGTTTGACTTTCAACTATGCAAATAAATAGGCGGGGCTTATCATTGCGTTAAACTGCCTTTCAAGGAAATGGGCTTCTTCGTACCGTACTCGACCTTTGGATCAATGTCCCATCCACCGCCCTTGTTCTCGGTTGCTCCCCAGGAGGGCACTATGGAGCAACGTTTGAACGCGCTCGGCCTTGTCCACCCTTTCCGCTAAGTATCCCGCTCTTCCCTTGAGTAGACAACACAAACAAGGTAGCTATTCCATCATGAGGGAATGTCCCATACCATCCCAAGTCGTAAGCGACAACATGCCCAATCTGTCATAGCCAACTCGTTTGCTTCTACCAAGCTTGAGTCTTCAACCAAGACTCGTTGTTCACTTGCCAATTGCATCACCAACTGGTCAAGTGCTCCGCCCGTCAAGGTCTCTGCCAGAAGCGAAAGTTTCAACCGAAAATGGCTTATCAAACTCAGGCAACTTCAGCACCGGCTCAATCACCATCGCCATCTTCAAACCGTCAAAAGCCTTTTGACAAGCTTCAGACTAGTTCTAACCCCGATCCATCACCAGAGTCAATTCGTACACAAAATTGTTAGTATAGTATAAAAGGTGTCGCTTCAGACACCCCCTTCCCTTAATGAAAAGCCCCCATTCGAGTAGTCTCATAGGTCTGACCAGGGGCTCGGTTCCAACCATTCTTTCTAAGGACAACCTCGCTCCTAGCGAAAGATCAAAGGCCAGGGTCTGAAAGAGTTCACGATCCAATTCATTCCCTCAAATCGGATGACACAAGGCGAACTAGAATAGGCTGATTGATCCAGGTAGCGACAGGCTCCAATCGAAAGGAACCGCGCGTACGCTAGAAAGACGTATAGGCAAGCCTTTCTTTATGATCATATGGATCGCTTTTCGTGACTTTTCTTTCCATAGGCATACATTGCAGTCTAACCTTCTAACTTTAGGGGACCGAGAATCAGTCTTTTGATCCTCCTCGAGCCTACTCTCGTCTTTCGAATTAAGCTTCCGATTTAGTTGGTGCAGACGCTGAAGGATCAGCTGACACTAGATAGGAAAGGGTTTCGATCGAAGCTCTCGAACCTGTTCCGAAGTCAGTTTAGGATTCGGTTTCCTATCCGGTTGGTGTTCCGACATCCCGAATCGAGGTGGCTCTAAACTCAGGTTTGCCTACCTCTCTAGTTACAGAGAGAGGAGAGAGGAGAGGGGCTTCGAAGCCTTACTTAATGAAAGCTAGAAATATCGCTAGAAAACTAGCCATATCGATCTAGGTAAGTGGTGACAACGAAAAGGCGTTTTTTTAAGCCTGAGGGGCAGTGAGCGGGGTAGGATAAAGTGAAAAAGAATGGTATTTGAACCAGGGCGGGGGCGGGCGGAGGAGGCCCTATGTAGTCTTTCTTTTCATGGGTGGTGGGCAGGTTTAAGGGGAATATAGGTTTGCATCAAGGTATGTTGTTTTCCCAAATGTTGATGGCTTGGAGTTCCATATCTCTGAAGAGAAGGAGGTGGGCGCAAAAGCCTCTTCTGGATCTTGATCCGAAAGTGACGATGCAACAAAGGCTATTCGGTGTGAGTTGGTGTTCAGCATGGAGGTACCGCTTCACTAGGGCTCTGCGCCCGTTCCTTAAGTTCTTGACCCAATGCCAGGTGATTGGCTAACCGTGCCCCTTCCTTAGAAGGTAAGGGAGGTATGGTTGGGAGGGACAGAGAGATCAGAAACCAAAGGAAAGGGAATAGACTCACAAACTGGATTGGATAAAGCATAAGCTCTGGAAGCGGATACGCCGATGGTTGGAAGGGAAGGCTAGCACACATCATTTCTCTAAGAAGAAGTTAGTTTCACGACGAGTCCAGCTCGTAGTGACCCTAACACTGCGTTAGGGCGAACTGGGAAAGCCTTAAAAGTCTATAGTATTCTAAACTAGTCAAGCCGCATTCCCTCTTCAGTTATCGTGAAATTTCTCTAGGCTCTTCTCTCTGAAGAATACCTCCTCGCTCTTCGTCCATTTCCGTTCGATGGAGAAAGAACTTCTTTTTCGGGTGTTCGGTCTGGTCGAGTAAGCAACTGAAGAAATTTCGTATACAGGATTTCAGTATTAGATTCAGTATTAGAAAGGTCTGGGTGATCGCAGTATATTCGGACCTGTAGTTAGCTCCGCTTGGGCAGCACCCCCATTGTGAGGTACCATCAACAGCAAGACCATACAGATGGCATCGCGAATCCCCTACCGAAGTGACTGAACCACCACTTCTTGATCCGTTCTTTCCAGCGGAGGGAAGACTGACTTGATTTGAGGAGAAATCCTTTCCTGAGCGTGATGCTATTTGATCGGTGATCATAGGAAGCCGCTAGGCTTACTGCGAATGCTTTCTTTCTATGAAATCCTGTTGCTATGGCTCACGAAGAGCAACGGGACAGTCACAGGCTAGCTTAAGAATCACTAACCTCCGACTCCCTCAACTTGGTGGGTGTGCCTGCTTCTTCCGACCTCTATCCAAACAAATCATCGAGGAAGTCAGGTAGGTTCCGGGTAGCACTTCAATGCGAAGCGCACCCTTCACCCACTGGCACGAGCCAAACTAGCTAAGCGCGAGGAAAGCTTCACCGCCCTCTTCCAGCTCGAGCTCACAGACCTCTCTGAGTCAATTCCAAATGGAACTCAAATCTTTCCCCTTTCGAATGATTCAGTGCTCTCTTCAACCGGCGAGTTAAGCCTTGTCAGTGCTCTCAGAAACCAGATCAATTAGGTCTGGATCGGCTCACTGAAAACTTTCCCAATCGAAATGAATTCGAAACGCAAGACACGACACTCACAACACGAGACTCGAATCGAGGATCAACCCCCTTCCTTGGGTTACAGAGGGCGTTAGCTCAATTCATAGCCTTCCTTTCTCCTTCCCTGTCAAGATGAACAATGCGGCTAAGCGTGCAGATTGTTGGTTTGGCGCGAAGTGAGCTTGGCCGCTCTGAGTAGAAGTGCTCTCCTGCTGCCTAGATCTAGCTCAGCTTGATAGTTTCGTACTGACGGATCGTAATAACATAAACTTTTTCGGAGTCTGGGGACCGACAGAAGTCAAGGAAAAGTGCCGGTGGGTGCAGGTTGCTGTTGCGTCTATTGCGATGCTTTGGGTCGGTTTCTTATCTAGAGCGGAACTAGCCTGAAGGAAGGGTGTTGATCCTCGCACCGAACTCTAAGCGAGTGGCTCATCGTGAGACCTTGTTGGCATGCCTCCAAGAAGGCTGATAAGAGGAAACCTAGGAGACCGCGTTCCAACTGTTTTTTGCTAAAGAGAAATCGGTTCCTGGTGCAACAAACTGAGATCTTGGAGCTAGGGCAGAGGGAGAATAGTAAGCATAAGCATCCGAATCAGCAGACGCAGCGGCTGCAACTGGACCTGGAGAAGAATTCCTATGCTCTCTTCGCGCTATACTTGAAAAAAATGTTTGCTTGAAGCCTGTTCCCTCTCGCCCGTGTGATTCATCTCTTTCGCTTCCCGATTTGTGATATAAAAATGCGGATAAGGCGTATAACCAACCCCTTTTGTGTTTTTAAGGACACCCGACCCGAACCATCGATAGAGGAACATGCGATATAAGCAAAGATGAATGCTGAAATCTGTAATAGCAAAGAAGAAGCGATTTAAGTGAACAATATCTATATCTAACTAAGATTGATTTATTCTTTGGGGCTTGAAAGCAATCTACCTTTAGCTAATAGCTAGATTAGTTCTCCCCAATACTGATTAGTTGGTCGAGCACCTTGTCCCCTATTCCTTCGATCGGAACTGGCAACTTAACGTGTTGCCCCCTTCCCTGGGGTATCCCCTCCCCGTCTTCGTTTGTAGAGTAATCTTCCCTCCCATACTTGAGTAAGTACCTCAAAAACCTTTAAGTAGAGTGAGTTCCCTTGGGAAAGCTACCTTATGTTGGGGATCCTTCCTCTGTTGAGCTAGGAACCTACCCACTTTGTAAAGCTTCTCCAGATTCTGTTATTAAACCCGCTCAAAACTACAACTAGACTACCAGTAGAGGAACTTAACGGGCAAGAAGACCTAATAATAGGAAGAAAAAAAAGGTGCTATCCCAATAGGTTCCGGATCGGATCGAGCAATAAGTGAAGGAGCTTGACCAATCCCAATGAGGGAAGTTGCTGAAAGAGAAGCGGAAAGGGACATCTTGAACTCAGGGGGAAGGGACCTTAACGACAACAAAAGAAGTGCGTGCATTTCCCGATCAAAGAAGCCCTTGAACTCACCTTCATTCAACAATGAAACTTCACGTATGAACTCTGCTCGGGATTGGACTCTTCTCACGAATTGGATTTGAACCAATATCAAGCTACTTTCCTTTTAGTAGATCGTGAGTGGGTCTGTCGTCCTCCTCATTATAGTCCTCCTAAAATCAATAGCATTTCGTCGGAATACATCCTGTCTTTTCACCTTAGTAGTCCTATGCATAGTCAGTACTATAGCCCCAATCATGGCTACTAATAAAATAAGACTAGGAACCAAAAACCAGACGGAATAGTAGGTATAAAGTAAATTGCCCAATGTTTCCAAATTAGTCCAACTTCGTACCTTTTCGGCATAAACCGTATATCTCAGAGAGGTCGTATTTCTTTGGGTTGGTAGTAATGGAATGCTTTCATTATCTAAAATGAAGAACATTTCCCACCAAAAGATCAGTCCAATAATACCACTCACTGGTAAATAGCGCAATACTTCTTCGTGAATCTCCGCTATTTGAATATTGAACATCATAACAACGAATAGGAATGAAACGGCTATAGCTCCTATATGAACTACTGGGAAGATCATAGCGGAGAAGTCGAGACCTAACAAAAGAAGTAAACCTGAAGTGTCGCAAAAGACTGGGATGGGAAACAAAACGGAATGTACCGGATTTTTAGCACGTGCAACCATCAAACCAGAGACCAAAGCAGGGCTCGACAAAACAGAAAGTATCACGATGCGCTATTTTGGGCGTCGTCGTTCCATTTTAGGAAAACTTTGCTTCTCAAATGAGAAAAGATTGGCGATTCGACTCCGCCCTCTTTTAGCTCATCCAATAGATAACAAAGTTTTTCTAACGACTCTTCCCCCGTGGCGGTACGAGGATTGTCGAGGGCCCGAGCTCCCCGTCCCATCCAATCTCCCGTTGGGTCAAGGCCCGCCATGAGTTTGATAATCTCAACTTTGACCTCGAATCGATCTTCGGCATCAAAACGAGCCATTCGTATGACCTCGAGGGAGGGAAAGGAGTATTTCGCCAAAAGGCGACGTTCGATGGAGAGAAGACAATCTCCCCCTATCACTTCATCCGGTTGATATGGGTAGGGGACCCCTGGGGGGGCCCGATTAGATGGACCCGCTTCCTCCCCCCGGGAAGCGACTGGATTAGCGGGAAGCGCAGGCCTTGCTTCCCCCTGATTCACCGACGTGTCTCCGCTTTCCATTTCTGTTTCGGAAAATGATTCGCAGAGGACCCGCATGTCAAACGAATCCTCCGTCCACGAGGGCGAGCTTGACGCGCCAGAAGCCCCTCCAGGCAACATGCTGTTTTCCAGCGGGAGCGTGCCCTCGGGAGCGATAATCATTGGGAGCACTAATAAAAGCGCGAAAGAAAGGCCCCCTGAACAACTCACCCCTCTTAGAGCAAAGGAAAAAGCGCGACTTCCTATAGAAAATCCAACCTTTTCCAGAAAGGCTAGAAAGATATCAATCGAACCGAGTTTAATACAAATAAAATAGAAGGGAGACCAGAAAAATGATGAGGCCCGAAGATAGAAAATGGCGCATTCGAGAAGAGAACGGGCGAAGGATATTCATGGATCCTTTAGCAGCTCTTTCTAATATACGAATTTGTGATTGGATGTAACTGTTAAGATTTTCTCTCGGATAAATCTTTCTCTTAATAGATCTCTTCTTGTTTCTCAATCTTCGGAGAATGCGGCGTTGTATTATTGTAAGTTCTCTGTTCCGAACATTTCCTGAAAGTAGACGACAAGTTTTAAATCTTAATGCAGGCAAGGCATATCTCGTTGAATCAGTCTTTTTCGCCACATCGGGGTTATGGGAGTCGAACCCAATTCTGTTGTCCGCCGAAAACCCCCGAACGAGCAAAGCTCTAATATGTTATTGCTGACAAGGGCTTCCGCCACACCCCTTTGCTACTCGATACGCAACTGCGCATCCTTCACACCCTGATTGAGTCTGATTGAGCCCTGCAGTGGTAGAACCTGGTGAACCGGGCGTACTACTTCCCAACCTTCTGTGGACCTTGCTTCTCTTATGAAATGAAACTTCTCCGCCGACAGAGTGCTTCGTTGATTCAAAAGCTATGTCCTTCCCGTTGCTGAAGCGCCTGCACTCTAGCACGGCGCTCTTTTTTAGTTTTTATATTGGCTTGACACTTACTTTACGTGATGTCACAGTTCGATTAGAGTTAGCTCGACCAGCAGCCCATCCTAACATTTTCTTCGCCGATTCATTCATTCGGTTTGAAGGGTGTTATTAGAAAGCCAAAAGAAAAGCAAGCCCCCGGAAGAGAAGTTGAAGTGGGCTTCCCAAGGAAGCCTCAGAATTGACTGCAATGAGTCCATTCGCAACGAACGTTCAATGATTACTAAAACAATTAAGCACATATGATTCATCGCGTATGTGTGGCGCACTGAACACATAGTTTCCGGAAGTTGTGTGGAATGTGCTTTCTTTTCGCTCTATGGGGGCGCGCAGGGAGCTTCTAGTGCTCTTGTTTTATTTGATTGTACTGTCATTTATTTTTACTAACTCAGGAACTTTCGCTTAGGGTGCATTCCTGATAAGTAAGCCGAGTTCTTCCCTTGAAAAAAGGACTCGGTGAACGTCTTTCAATGCTTTATTTCTTAGCTTAGTTCTCCCTGCTTTATTATATTAGATCCTTGTTGCTTAAGCTTCTCTGCTCTGATAAAGCAGTCTTGTTTAAACGCATGGTTTGCTAGTAGTGAGAAATCTCGATCTTCTTAGTCTTTCGGTTCGGAAAAGGGACAACTCTTTAGGGTGAAACAGTCGCCGGGGAGTGTGCTATTCCCGCCCATACCCTTTGCACTAATGTTTAACTCGTAGTACGGCCGGCGAACTTTATGCTTAGCGCTAAGAGGTGGAGCTGCTACCCCGAAAACGGAGTTCTTGACGCATGTGTTAAGCATATGTTTTTTTCCGAATATTGTAGTTTCGGTTGTGCGATTTGGTGCACCCCTTGCCAGTTCGCCAAGGGCAAAGGGCAAGACCACTCTCTTGGGGGGCAGCAGGGTTGACATCCCCTACTCCGGGCTTGGACTCGAGGGTTTTTGAGTTCTCTCTCTTTTTCAAGAACGAGTCCTTTTCCGGCCCTAATTTTCGAAGTGAAAGAAAGGCACTTCG